TGCTTATGTTATGTTATGTGCATTAAAGAATAAACTATCTATTCTTCTTATTTCTGTAACCTGAAATCCTTTTTTTTTTTTTGTTCTAGATCTCTCTACATTTGGTGAAAACAATCTTCATCTAGGGGAATTAAACGCATCTGTCTTGCTTTCTAAAGCCAAAATGCTTAAAACTGTCTAGTTTATTTGCGTACTTGTTGCCTTTTCTTGCTGGTCCATTCATTTCAGGTTTTCCTATCTCTTTTATGGGCACATTGATGCTTGCACATATGAAATGTACACATGCTTGGAGCCAAACACATTGTTTCTTTCCTGCTTTTATCTCATTTGAACATTGTACTAAGCATTTTTGTTCTATTCTATATAGGCGCGAGCGAGTAAAGCGCAGGAGAGCTCAAGCAGCTAAAGAAGCTGCATTGATTCCGCCGGAGGCCCCAACTGATGAAAACAAGCAGCCTGATTTAGAAGAACTCTCAAAGGGCCTTCCATCCGGTTGGCAGGTATCCTTGGAATCATATCTCCACACTTAAGTCTCTTTTGATCATTGTGCATAACCTTAGCTCATTTCATATGCATGCAAAAGCTAGTTTTATACACAAACTGCTTATAATTTTAGTATCCGGTCATCTTAAAGGCTGAACTCAGCCATTTCATTCAGGGAAAATGCAAGGGCAAGACAGTTTCAAAGGTTCTCAGTTCCCTTTTCTTTTTGTTTGGAAATGTTGGTGGGCAGTGGCTTCTATTGTTCTTTTGGGAAGCAGAGATGTAGGGATAGACTGACCGTACATGCTAGGAACCAGAGAGGGGAATCGACCTCTTAATTTGAGAAAGTAATGAGCTCTTTAATTCAATAAAGTTTAATTCGATAAAGTAATCCATTATTAAGAATGCGATGTCCAACATATAGGTATGTAGTTTGAACTATTTGATGATGGGTTGTAAGTTGATACTGGTTGTTAAGAAGTCTTTATTTTGTCAACTGCTAAGTTTGGACTCTAATGCATTCCGCATGAATAAACAACAATAGGAGCATTTATGGTGTAGAATATTCAAAATATGCATTTTGTTAAAACCCCCCCTTTTCCCCCCTTTTCCTGTCCAGGTCTATTGGGATGGATCATCAAAACAGGTCTATTATGGTAATGTCATCACCTCGGAGACAACCTGGACCAGGCCAACGAAATGAGTTGCCATTGATTTTGTGAGCTGTCCAGTTTGTAGTGTAGTCATTTTAAGCCAGCGACCTTAGGGACTTCTTCTTTCCACACTTGTTCTATAGGAATAGGCAGTTGTCACAGTTGCTTTTACTCCAACGTTTTCTTGAAAATGGAGTAGCAATCGATTGTTTACTTCTCCTGCTAAACATCGCAGTTCAAATTTGGCATATGCTCCCATGAGAGAGATCGGATTCAAGCCAAGATAATCACGGGGAAAGTGTAAGAAATTTTGAACGTTTCTCTAATTAAAGGTTGAATTTTTAAGCATTTATCAATTTCTAATCTGGATTTGCGATTGAGTGTTTGTATTCTTATTTTTGCAATTGAAATGTGGCATGGTGATGTGCTAGTCAAGTGTCCGTCTTTTGCTCGGTTTGGCATGGAAAAGTGGATGTTTGACACGCACGTAATCATATTTATTTGACAACTTTTGGAAGTTCTTGATCACAAATAACAAAAATAAAATAAAGTTAATTCTCTCAATATCTAAATTGGTAATTGTCTTGTTCCCAAAGTTTTTCTTTTTTTCCACCGTAGATATCATTTGCTTGATTTCTCTCTCTTTTCTGTTTAGAGTAAGTGAAGAACAAATACATAAATCTTAGAGAGAGACTCTTTTCTAATAATTGATTTTACTGAGTGATGTTCATGAGTAACTAGGAATACAATCTAAGAGCTAATTTATCAACATTCATCTGCAGCTGTAAGCACCCAACAGCAATATTCAAAAACTACAGCCAAGACTTAGACATAGAAGTAAGGAAGAGTTATGGCTCGAAACCTAGTTGTAAATTCTAGCTGGAAATCAGAAACTAAATCCTTAATTTAGTGTATGTTTACAATTACAAAATATTCTAGGCCTTGCTGGAAATTAACAAGCTAGTCAACATTTCCTACTATACATTTACGGCTGCATGTTATTCTCTCCCTCCTAGAAAAACCTGTCCTAAAGTGTGTTGGGATCATATGGCCCAAGGTGCTTCACATTGAATGCACTCAAGATGTTAAAATGAGCTGGTAGCTGTATGGTATAAGCATTACCTTTAATTTTTGCCACATCTATGTAAATATTTTCTAATCACCTAACTTTGAATTAATAACCGGTTGCTATTGCGTTTTCAAATGTATATGGGTGCATTTTAAAATTGATGTTTTTTTTAGTGCTTTTTATACGTTAATGTAAAAAATATAAAAAAATCTAATAAAATTATTTTAATATATTTACAAGTAAAAAATGGTTTTAAAAAATATTATGCATCAAAATCCTAAGCATACACTAAGATCCATGCGAATGCCTTTATTTGGTCAACTCCACCCAAACCAAATCTCCTACCTTAAAAACAAGTTGTTTTTATGATGGTTTGTAGATGCTTTATATTTTGCATTTAAAAGCTCAATTTTCATCTTAAATTAAGTATGGATAGCTTGTATAAATTTTGTAAAATTTCTTACCCTTGCATTTTCTTTATTTTCTTTATTGAAAGTTGTTAATGGAGTCAAATCAAGAATATTTAGAGGCTTTTATTCATAAAACACCTTAAAAGAAAAGGAATTTGTAATTTCATTAAGAGAAAAATTATAGGCAAATTTAGCCAAAGGTACGATGTTTTCTAATTCTTAGAATTTCTACTAATTAAGTATCACCATCAATTTAAAGATAAAAGGCATTAAAACTCAAGATAGTGCTAATCCTTTGCCGCAAGGTACATTAAAAAAGAGCAAAAAATTTAGCATTCCTATTAGACATTATAAAAAATGGAATTATATACAGCTTATAGATCTCATTGAAATAAAAGATTAGCCATATGTGACACATCTAAAGTTTTATTACAAGGAATAAAATGAGTTATTTTGGAAAATCTACCTAACACCATCATAATAAAGTCATGCTTCCTTTAAGTTCGTGGATGGCAAGAACAAAGTCTATGCTCACCTATTTCTAGGTGAAGTTTTGGCACAAGTAAAGGCACATTCTTGTGTTTGTTGTCCCTTTCTTTTCTTTTTTTTTGACAAACAACACACTTCTAGATATGCTAAATTACATTCCTTCTTATACTTGAATAAAAATAATAATGTTGGATAGTTTTAGTATCTTATTAGAACTAAAATATCCCAAATTTTATTGTTTAATGAGAAATAGCTCCATAGTATGAAAGCATACATAATCTTATCCTTTTAAAAATAAATTCATTATTCAAACAAAACTCATAATTGATAGCAACTTGTTCTATTGATAGCTCATGATAAATGATACCAAGATAAGAGTCATTTAAGTAATGATTCTTGAATTCTTCAAATCGAACCACGTTGATTTGCATCTCTATCAATAGATTGAACCTATGACTTAAGCCATAAACTATTTTTTTATGTATCCCTGCCTTATGCTTCAATGAGAAGGTGAATTATTGAAGATACCTCATCGATTTACCATACCTCTTGTTCAAAGTCTGTAGATACCTAATGGTTTCATGATCGATGTGAATCAAAAACTCCTTGTAGGTTAAATAGTAGCTTCAATGCTTGATGACTTGGACTATGACACAGAACCCCAAATTATTAGTGAAATATTTGAGTATTACCTCATTCAATTTCTCATTAAAAAAGGCTATATGCTATCTATATTGGCCAAGCATATGCTATCTATATTAGCTAAGCATATCTTTAATATAGACTCTCGAAGCATTATAATCAACTTCAAATATTTTATCAAAATTAGGTAAAGCAAGAATAAGAGCTTCTAATAGCTTTTTTCTTTAACAACTTAATATTGTTTTGTGTTTCTTGTGTCCAAATAAGTGATCTTTGTGTGAAACAATTAGTAATACAAGCTACAATAATGCTAAAATGACAAATGAAATTTCTATAGAAGATTGCAAGTTTATGAAAGCTCCTCATCTCATAAATACTTGAAGGATTAGATCATTTAAGAATAGCCTGTATTTTATCTTTATTTGTAAGTATTATATGTAATGAAACAATACAACTTTAAAAAACAAACTTGTCCACACCTATGTAATGAAACAATACAACTTTAAAAAAAAAACTTGTCCACACCAAAACAACATCTTTTGAGATTACTATAAAACTTTTCTTACCTTAAATCTGAAAACATGTGGTATTAGTGACATATATAATCCTCCAAACAACAACTGCAAATAAGTATACCATCAAAATACACCACCACTCAAACCTTAAAAAAGTTTAACATTTAGGTTAAGAACTTTAAGAAAGTGCATTTGATCATGCAAAAGACATCACAAGTCATTCAAACAACCAATGGAGTGTTTTCAAAGCTATCTTGCATTCATCTCATGATCATTTTTTGATTTGATAATAACTACTATATAGATCAATTTTGGAAACAAATTTATAGCCCACCAAACAATCTAACATATCATCCAACTTGGAATTTAAAAATGGTATTTGACAATATTATTGTTGGTGGCTCTACTATCATTAAACATGCGCCATGAACCATCAATTTTTGGAGTTAAGACAGTGGGAATGGAACAATGACTAATGTTAGTCCTTTTATAACCTCTATATAAAAATCTCTTGTACTTGCTTATCTAACCTTTTTTTTTTTTTTTGTTCTTTATGAGTCGTATCTAGGCCACCTTACTGGGGAGGGCTTTACCTGGCACCAAATCAATGGTTAGCTGAATATCTATATCGTTCGTCGGTTGTTTTTGTAGTGCTTTGTAATTTATATTTCGTCTTCTATCTATATCGTAATCAGCACAGGCTTTGATAACAGGACACTTTTTGGAGTTCATGCTAATGTAATAAGCAAGCCTATGAAACGAATTAATTTATAGGAATGCAGATGAATTTCTTCAGCACAATATTGTTCATACATGGATGTGGGAAAAACCGACGCCATTACAACTGCCAGATCACAAGGATTGTGTCACCACCAGCTATTGGAATCACTATATTGCCTACGAGCCTATTTAACATTGCGGTAAAAAACACACAAGAAATTGTTAACCAGTCCGCACGCACATTCCATGAGAAAACATCATGCTTTAGTATTTTCATCAAGAGCTCAGCTACCATCTGGTTGAACAATATACTATCTAACTTAAGCATTTCTGTGGTTATAGAAGGGCCTGAAAGATAATTGATTTCAAATAATAATTATTTTTCCTTTTCATCACATCCTATTTTCCCGGGAGTGCTCATTCTCCAGATCTTTTAAATAACCTAGAAAACCAAGAAAGCCGAAAAGGAAGAATCCACCAGAGAAGTTTCCTCCACCACCACCTCCTCCACCTCCCCCACCACCACCACGATGGGGTGGGAATCCAGGTCCGCCATCATCTAGTCGTGGAGTTTTGTTTGTTTCTGAAGTTAAATTACCAATTGTAAAACACAGAAGTCAGACATTCGTAAATTTACAAAAATTAAATATTGAAAAAGTGCTGCCAAGATATTTTGATCTCACTAAAACTTATCATGCATAGAAGGAAATACACAAAAGGTGCTTAGGATGATACATTTTCTGCATTGGTGCCCTTGGATAGTTTCGAACAATTCAAATAAACTACATGTAAATCATCAAGAAGATGAGGACAAGGTGAAATGTGGAAGTGGACCAACACTGACCAAGGGAAACCCAAAATATGTAAACCCCAAAGAAATTTCCAATCCACAACTAGCTGATTCTCACTTTTTAAGATTTACAGCATAGGGTTAGAACAATGGATCCAGCTAGTAACAAGGCTTCCTATTCTGTAGTATGCAATTGGTAACATATATGAACGTGGTAATTTACCTCTTTGAGGAGCTTTGGTAACTCCAGGTGCCTTATTGGTAAGGGTTTGAGTTTGCCCAGAAGCAGCACATCTTGTATTCTGCAAAAGAGAAAAAGTGAGTTCGTGATTCTTAAAAAATGATGCTGCTGCACATATGTGCGCACACTTGTCTTTCTGTATCTATCAATGACTTTTCTTGAATAGACAGTTAATATTGGTTGTTGCAAATAACAATATCGATCCACCAATTGATTAACTTGAAAACATGGAGAGATATATGACTGTAAAATTCAACAAGCTGTGATGATTGACAGACTTGACCTCTTCACTAACTCTTGCTAGGAGGTACTTGTAAATTAGTTTCTTCTTGTACAAATTCATACATCTCAATCAAACTAAGGAAACAAGACACCCATAAACCCGAAACAGAAATTTACAAGAAGATAATAATCAATTAGATTATTGCTTCCAGAAGCTTCAAAGTGTGGCTTCGATTATCCGTTTGTTTTCTTCCTAAGAACAGAAATAAGAGACACAAAATAGCTTATATAAAAAAAATGTCATATTTCTTATTGATTGTTGTAGCAACAAACAATTCCTTATAACTGTAAAAAGCAAGAATGTCGTAACTTCAATTTACAGTGCAAACAAATGGAGGTTGCATGAAGTATAGATAAGTTATCTCACCATTGCACCAGCATATATAATAGGTGAGTGTTTTCTGTTCAAATTTATTCTCCTTTCAATAGGTCGTAATCGTGTAACTGAGCCAGATACTGCAACCTTAAAATGTCCTCTTTTTACATTACAAGATTGAGTCTGCATGGAAACCCTGACTGGACCAGAATTTGTTTCTTCGTTTTGGCTGTTGTTTAGGCCCCTTGTTTTCACTGTACACAAATATGTAATCAATAGTAGTTTTTAAATCAACACATTGGAAATCAATCCGACAACAGAAAACAGAAAAATAAAGAGTGGATGCAGTCATAACAACTCAGCTAGAGTCTAGGATTCAGTATATATATTCAAAACAGAAGTTTCTCTTGGCTTTCCAGGATCAACAAACACATATTAATCACTGATGCATCTAACTTATAGGTGGTTAACATGCTGATGTAGAATTCCGGAAATACTGGTCCCAAGCCTATATAAATGAATGTGTGTGTATTCATAAGAAAAAAAAAAAAAAACTATATCTATACATGAAGTGCTAAATTAGAGGAAACTATACCCGGTGCTGATAGAGGTAAAAAGGTGCTGGCAGTAGTTGCGGTGAACACCACCATTTTAATTGTAACAGAGGAAGTGCCCAGAAAATTTAGCTGTTCGCATTAAACATGATCTCAAAATGAATAAACCATCACCAAAAGCAATATTTAAAAAACACTTATGACATCAAAGGCATCCAATGAAGTCATCTACAAACCAATCGTTATCCCAATAGCCAATATAATTTCAAACTAATTCCATAAATTATAATACTCAAGAAAAGGGACCAAGTATCTTCACATGATATTGTTACAGAGCAAATACAAATTGTTGAGGCTAATTGAAACAAGGTTTAAAACAAAACAAACAAGGAAAAAAAACACTAACCCAATTGGTCCCAAAAGCTTGTCACCTTCCAAAAGAAGAAAGATAAAAAAATTTTTAAAAAATTTCTTGTTAATATTAATCCTCTCTGAATTTCTTGTTAGGGTTCTAATATGAAATCAACATTCAGAAGAATCGAACTTTCTTTTCGTACCTTGTCTCAGATTTTCTTGGCAGACCAAAAGAAACAAAATAAAAGAGAAACAAGAATAAGAGTTCGTACCTTTGAGAGTATGATCGCAATCGGCGAGGCAGCAAGTAAGGCAGTTGCCCGTCCAGGGAATAAAGAGCGCTCAAGGAAGGCGGTGATGGTGACCCTCGGATGTTGTGAAACAGCGGTGCCACGTCATTTTATTTATTTTCAAAATCACTACATAATATCATATTTGTAAACCACGGGCCGGTCATTTCAAACTTTAATCAATTAAAACTCAATATTCAATATGTTAATATTTGTTTTTCAAAAAATATTAAAATAAAATTATTTTAATTATTTTAAAAAATTATTAATTATTTTAAATTAATTCGAGTCAACCTTACAACAACAAGTTATATTTTAAAAGTATTCGTTCATGTTATAATTTATCATAAACAAAGTTTTTTTAATTATTATTAGCAATCTCTAGAATTAAATGGTGGATAAGAATGTTTGCTTGATTTTTTATTTTTTTTATTTAATTTTATTTTGAAATTTTTTGAATATACTAAGTTGATGTGGTTCACTTTTTTAAAATTATCTAAAAAAAATTTATCCCCTGAACCAAATTTGTCCTAACCATTCTTATAAAAACCCTAAAATTTAGAGAAAAAAATATTCTTCTAAAAATTAATTATTTCCCTAAATTTTAGTCATTCTTGGAGTTTTCATGGTTTTTATCTTTTTTTTGTTTTAATTTTTTTATATATTTTTAGTGAGTATATATATATATATAAATCAAGTTAAAAATATATGAGAAAAAATTCAGTGTAAAAAAAAATCACATCAAGAAAAACTAAGAAAATAAAATGATAGAAAAAGAGAAATAGAAAAAAATTCAAATAGAAAATATAGAAAGAAATTTTAATGTGGAGGTTGGATTTCCCAATTTTATTTTTTCTCATCCAAACTTTCATAAATAATGCAATCCTAGGATTGATCCAATCATTTAGCCAAACTTAAACATTCAGAAATCCATTTCGAGCACACCTCATATTGGATAAGGATGACACAAATAATTTACCCTATTTCTAGATAAATGTGAACCTAGATATAAATGTGTTTAAAAAAATATTTTTAAAAAAATTGATTTGAAACATGAATTCAACCAAAAAAAAAGGTTGATTGATTTGAAACATGAATTCAACCAAAAAGGTTAATATGCGAAATAATCTCAAAAAAGAAAAACATGGGAATTTAAAAAAGAAATCGATTAAAAAAAATTATATAGAAGACATATAAAGAAAAAAACAGTCTTATCACTAACGATATAAATATAAAATTAAAAAATTAAAAAAAAATCAACTTAAAAAAAACAAAAGAAAACCCAAGTAAATCTTCTAAATTTAGTCAAATGTTTCAATCTCACAATCCATCAAATCCTAAACCCAGGTTAAATTAAGAAACTAAATTTTCAATCAATTTAATATTGATTAGCCATAGTAAATCCAACAAATATAAAGACTTGAAAAAACCTGAGTTATTTTTAAAATTAGTGAAAAATCCTAGTGAAAGAAAATAAATAAAAATAAATTTTAAAATTTATCTCAAATAAAATTAATAGCAATAAAAATAATAAAAACTAAATTCAAAAGATAAAAACAATTAAAGAGGGATGTAATAGGAAAATAATTCTAATCTTATAAATTATTTAAAAAATCATTTCATATATTGAAGGATAAAATAGAGAAAAAAATATCAATTAAAAAAAGTAGCTAAAAAAACCCAACAAAGAATGATAAATAAAAAAACTTGAGATAATTAAGTTATTATCAAGAATAACAAAAAATTCCACAGAAAGCAAGTTTAAAAAAATAAAATTCATTCTCTAATTGAATAAATATTAAAGGATGAAATGAAAAAATATCTTAGATAAAGAAAAATAAAAAAACCATGCAAACTTGGTAAAAACTCCAAAATTTGGTTAACTATTTAGAATTTGCAACCTGTAAAGCTTTAGACCTGAGTTTAATCAAGATACTTCATTATCAATCAATTTTAAAAATTGTCAAAACAAACAAATAATAAAAAAAAAGCTTTAGACCTGAGTTTAATCAAGATACTTTATTATCAATCAATTTAAAAAATTATCAAAACAAACAAATAATAAAAAAGATAAATCAAATTTGAAAGGAAAATAAATCAAAGAATGATGAAATTGTAAAACAAAATCAATTTAAAAAAGAATCTCAATCAAAACAAATAACAATCAAAATAATGACAACCAAATTTAAAAGAAAAAAAATAATAAAAGTGGATGACATTGAAAAAGCATTCAAATTTGAAAGGAAAAAAAACCAATAAATGGTGAAATTTTTTAATAAAACAATAATTCTAATCTTATAAATTGTTTGAAAAATCATTTTATATATTGAAGAATGAGATGGAGAAAAAAAAACAATTCAAAAAAGTAGCTAAAAAACCTAACAAAGAATGATAAATAAAAAAACTTGAGATAATTAAGTTATTATCAAGAACAACAAAAAATTCCATAAAAAGCGAGTTAAAAAAATAAAACTCATTCTCCAATTGAATAAATGTTAAAGCATGAAACGAGAAAAATAGCTTAGACAAAGAAAAATAAAAAACTAAGTAAAGCCGGTAAAAACTCCAAAATCTGGTCAACTATTTAGAACTCGCAACTTGTAAAGCTTTAGACTTGAGTTTAAGCAAGATATTTCATTACCAATCAATTTAAAAAATTACCAAAACAAAATAAATAGCAATAAAAAATTATAGATTAAATTTGAAAGGAAAACAAACTAAAGAATAATGAAATTGTAAAACAAAATCAATTTAAAAAATAATCTCAATAAAAAAATAACAATCAAAATAATAAAAACCAAATTTAAAAGGAAAAAGAAAACTAAAAAGGGGTGACATTGAAAAAGCATTCCAATTCGAAAAGAAAAAAAAACCAAGAATGGTGAATTTTTTTAATAGAAAAATAATTATAATCTTATAAATTATTTAAAATGAAATGGAGAAAAAAATATCAATTCAAAAAAGCAGCTAAAAAAACTCAACAAAAAATGATAAATAAAAAAACTTGAGATAACTAAGTTATTATAAAAAAACAAAAAATTTCACAAAAAACAAGTAAAAAAAATAGAATTCATTCTCTAATTAATGTTAAAGGATGAATTGTGAAAAAAAGCTTAGACAAAGAAAAATAAAAAACCAAGCAAACCTGGTAAAAACTCCAAAATCTAGTTAATTATTTAGAACTTGCAACCTGTAAAGCTTTAAACCCGAGTTTAATTACAAAATACTTCATTACCAATTAATTTTAAAAATTATCAAAATAAAACAAATAGCAATAAAAAAATATAGATCAAATTTGAAAGGAAAACAAACCAAAGAATGATGAAATTGTAAAGCAAAATCAATTTAAAAAATAATTTTAATCAAAATAAATAATAATCAAAATAATAAGAACAAAATTTATAAGAAGAAAATATTAAAAGGGGGTGACATTGAAAAAGCATTTCAATTTGAAAGGAAAAAAAACCAAAGAATGGTGAAATTTTTTAATAGAGAAATAATTCTAATCTTATAAATGTTTTTCAAAATTATTTTATATATTGAAAGATGAAATTAGAAAAAAAATTGATTAAAAAAAGTAGCAAAAAAACCCAATAAAAATGATAAATAAAAAAGACTTGAGATAACTAGGTTATTATCAAGAACAATAAAAAATTCCATAGAAAGTAAGTTAAAAAAAAATAGAACCCATTTTTCAATTGAATAAATATTGAAGGATGAAATAAAAAAAATAACTTAAAAAAAAACCATGCAAATAAGGTAAAACCTTTAAAATCTAGTCAAAGCAAACCTGATAAAAACTCCAAAATCTAGTTAATTATTTAGAACTTGCAACCTGTAAAGCTTTAGACCTGAGTTTAATCAAAATACTTCATTACCAATTAATTTTAAAAATTATCAAAATAAAACAAATAGCAATAAAAAAATATAGATCAAATTTGAAAGGAAAACAAACCAAAGAATGATGAAATTGTAAAGCAAAATCAATTTAAAAAATAATTTTAATCAAAATAAATAATAATCAAAATAATAAGAACAAAATTTATAAGAAAGAAAATATTAAAAGGGGGTGATATTGAAAAAGCATTCCAATTTGAAAGGAAAAAAAAACCAAGAATGGTGAATTTTTTTAATAGAAAAATAATTCTAATCTTATAAATTATTTAAAAAATCATTTCATATATTGAAGGATAAAATAAAGAAAAAAATATCAATTTAAAAAAGCAGCTAAAAAAACCCAACAAAAAATGATAAATAAAAAAACTTGAGATAACTACGTTATTATAAAAAAAACAAAAAATTCCACATAAAGCAAGTTAAAAAAAAATAGAATTCATTCTCTAATTAATGTTAAAGGATGAAATGTGAAAAAAAGCTTAGACAAAGAAAAATAAAAAATCAAGCAAACTTGATAAAAACTCCAAAATCTAGTTAATTATTTAGAACTTGCAACCTGTAAAGCTTTAGACCTGAGTTTAATCAAAATACTTCATTACCAATTAATTTTAAAAATTATCAAAATAAAACAAATAGCAATAAAAAAATATAGATCAAATTTGAAAGGAAAACAAACCAAAGAATGATGAAATTGTAAAGCAAAATCAATTTAAAAAATAATCTTAATCAAAATAAATAATAATCAAAATAATAAAAATAAAATTTATAAGAAAAAATATTAAAAGGGGTGACATTGAAAAAGCATTCCAATTTGAAAGGAAAAAAAAACCAAAGAATGGTGAAATTTTTTAATAGAGAAATAATTCTAATCTTATAAATGTTTTTCAAAATTATTTTATATATTGAAAGATGAAATTAGAAAAAAAATTGATTAAAAAAAGTAGCAAAAAAACCCAATAAAAATGATAAATAAAAAAGACTTGAGATAACTAGGTTATTATCAAGAACAATAAAAAATTCCATAGAAAGTAAGTTAAAAAAAAATAGAACCCATTTTTCAATTGAATAAATATTGAAGGATGAAACAAAAAAAAAATAGCTTAAACAAAAAAATTAATAAAAAACCATGCAAATAAGGTAAAACCTTTAAAATCTAGTCAAATATTTAAAACTTGCAACATGTAAAGCTTTAGACCCGAGTTCAATCAAGATATTTAATTACTAATCAATTTAAAAAATTATCAAAACAAAAAAAATAATAATAAAAAAATAAATATTAAATTTAAAAGGAAAACAAATTAAAGAACGGTGAAATTATAAAATAAAATCAATTTAAAAAATAATTTTAAATAAAATAAATAATAATTAAAATAATAAAAACTAAATTTAAAAGATTAAAATATTAAAGAAGGTAACATTGACAAAATATTTTAATTTTAGAAATTATTTAAAATAAAAAATTATAATAAATAATAGTTTGAAAAATCAACATATTAAAAGGTGATTCTAGAATTTTTAAGAAGCTGGCACAAAGACTTAAGAGATTAGGAAGAAGTAGAAGGGAAAAAATAGTTAATGGTGCAAAACATGCAGGAATCTTGAACCGCACGTCACCTTATTATAGAGAAAGTACCGTGAGGATTCTGACACCGCTAATAAAGGTTGTTTTTAATAGCTAGGTGGCTCCCATCTGCCATACTGCTTGTGCATGGCACGAATTAGTAAGTTTTTTTTTTTTTTTTTTTTTTATTATTATCAAAATACAAAAATGATCCTAAACTAATATGATATTAAAAAAAACTATAATAAAAAAATCAAAAAGTACCCGCAAGAGAGTTTATTTGATTTTTCTTACATAATTCCACTATATATTTTTAAAAATTAAAAAGATCAAAATACACCAAGTGAAAGGTTTTCTATTTTTTTATTTTAAAATTAAATTAGTAATTTTACTGTACAATAAAAAAAACTAATCTAACCCAATCTATAATCTGTATGAGATAATTCTAACATAGTAAAAAATAGTTCAAATTAATAGGATTTTATACCTAGAGTTACATAAACTTCCCTTCCCCCTTCACATATTTGTTAAAAGATTATCATGATAGTTTTTCGTACAATTACGTCTGACATTGTAGCAATGGCAAAATTTGAAAAAAATAGGGTGCGATCCATTCATGTAAGAGTGTATGAGAGCTTATAACAGGGGATATTCTTAAAAATATTACTCGTAATTAAATTTGTGTTGAGCAACATTACTCGTATAAATTAATTACAAGAAGCAATACAAGTAAACTATTATACGTACATGTGACGTGGATTAAGAAGTAGATACACATATTATTTCAGACATGAAACTTAAAATACATCTCCATGTGGAGCATCCTCGGCATACCAGTTATAGATATGATTAATTTGCAGGAATGCATGCATGCATGTATATTAACTTGAAAGAAAGCTCTTTGGGCAGTCCCATTCTAACAATCACATGATCTAAACCAGGTCGCTAATAGCACGTGATTTACCATCCAACTCGGAGAGATTGGATCCGATGGATCCTCCACGAATCATGCCGGAGCCTCGGTGGAATCGGCACTTGAAGGAACCGGCATGGGTGGTTGGTGAGCAAAGACAGTTCCCCCGTTCAGTGCTACGTGGTTTTGTCAAGGCCCTGTGTAACCTTGGCGAAGTGCCAGGATGGTGCAGCGGCGAATTCTTCTTCAGCACTTCCATGTCAATTGCTGATGCCATTATTTCAGGGGTTACTTGCTGTTGCTTCTTAAGGATTTTTGAGGGTTTCTGGTCCCTCACGCTGTTGCTCTTATTACTCATCTTTGATCTTTTCAGAAGCTTTTCTGTCATGCAAGAAATGTAGCAGCACTGATGAGGATATTGGAGTTATATTTGCATGCCAAAAATGTAAGATCGATATATACGTTATCAACTCTTTACGTTTAAATATTTATGAACCAGTTCTTGATTATTCGACAACCAAAGATCAAATTCTTGATCAGCAGTATCCCATTGGAAACTTGTAACCAAATTAACTACAAGTTATGCAATACGAATATACATTTTATGACATTAATGATGTCAATCTCGTCTTAATTTAAGAGGAAAACAAGAAATGGAGAGCACTTAAACTCTTGACTTTGGAAAAAATGCCCAAGTTTTTCGCCATACCTGACAATTCAATAGAGAAAGGAACTTTTCTGGTTTGTCGCCAGCCAACCGGTGACCTGAGAAGGGAGAGAAGGCAAAGACGAGAGATATTTGAGCTTTCTGCTTCTGCAATGGGGAGGATAAAAATATCAAAATGGGCAATACGAACATAACCGTTAATATAGTTATTACTGGCTAAAATCTTGGATTTTCAGTTCTTGTTTTGGCGCTGAAAATACGGGTAAAACATAATAGAAATTATAGCCCACTAATTTCGAGAGAATTTTGCTATTTAAGGAATATGCCAAGTAAATTATTTATATTTAGTAATTTGGTAATGACCCTCATTTCATGCCAACTACGTTGTAATATATATATATATATAGAAATTGATGTCTCAACTCAAGGGTTAAATACAAAAAAAAGGGGTAAATTAATTATAGTTTTAGCCCTACCCTTTCATCAATGTTGTAGTTCAAGATTTTATAATGTCACCTTAATTTATAGTTCTTAAAAACTCTGAATTTTTTTTATCATTATTACTAAAAAGCTAAACTTTTTATGTTTCCATAATTTTCTCTCTTCTTACAGTTCTCTATTTTTTCCTCCTCTTCAAGATTTATTAACCTTGTTTTTTGAAATTTAATTAATTGATTATAAAAGAAGATATTTGTAGTACAAAAAATAAAATTATTGAGGAGAAATGAAGTTCTTCAATCTAAACTTTATTTTTTTTTTATCAATGCATCTCTTGATTTTTTGAATGAATTTTTTTTTTATTATACTATTTTTAAATAAAAAGCCATTATAATTTCGAAAGCGAGTTAAAAAAAGATATTCACTTAATTTTCAATGTGATTTAAAAAAAGAATCAACAAATTTTATCAAATGAAGTAAAAAAATAAATTCAAAATTATAAATAAAAGTAATTTTATTTTCATTGAATATTAATAAGCAATCCTTTATTTCTTATTATTTTTTTAATATTAGTACATTGTAATTGAAAAAACATTTAACAATCCTATAAAACCTATAATATCAATTAAGGAACATGGAAAATTTGAACAAGAATTTTAAAACCATTTTAAGTTTTTTTTTTACAGTGGATTCTAATAAAAAAAAATATTTTTTTTGAAAAACATAGAAATTACCTAAGTATATGGGAAAAGATTTGAGGCTCGCTGGTCTTGCCCAAGAGAAAGAAATGCCAACACATATGGGCTTGCAAGGCCACGCTCTCAAGCTTGTTCTTAGATTTTTATCCTCTAAGGGCAACGAGTTTTGAATTTAGCATCCAAAATGATATAACGTGTCATCGTGATAGTATTTCTAGAATGGATGTTGTATTTAAATTTATTTTAAAAATAAATTATGTTTTTACTAGTTATTTAAATTATTTAAAACTTAACCAGATTATTTAAAATTAAAAAAAATATTAATAATATTTTTTTATATTTAAAATTTTTTAGTGTAACTTGCAGTATAGCACAGCACAAGCTAATTATTTAATATATATACAATTAGATCTCAACAAATTAGTATTTTTGGTATCATAAAGTTTTATTAATTAATCAAGATATTATTTAAATTGTGACCAAATAAAAATATTATTTAATATATATATACCTGCACACACTCGTCGAAATTGCTAAATGGAGCAGATTTCAGTGAGAAACAATGACAAATGGAGCAGCTCAAGTTGTCATTTTGTGTCCATGAATGGCATCGGTTTCAACCGTTTTGTTTTGTTCTCTTACACGACGTAAGTTTGGTTTTTGGTTCCTCTGCTGGTCTCTTGCATGTTGATTTTTGAAGAAAGCATCTTTGCCACCAGGCACTGTCTCTCTCTTTCCACTGCAAGCTCACCAAATTTTCTTACACGTTGAGAAGTGTCTTCATCTTCTGTTCCATACGTTGCATATCAATTTCCTCTCTCTGTTTCAGTGGGTACTCAAAAGAGTTCCACAGGGCAGATGCTGCTTTTTGGAGTTTCAGCTCTGGTTTGAAATCCCTTTGATAGGGTTGCAGCACTCGAATCTACAGCACATAATTAAGGTACTCTCCTTCTCTCTCAATCTGATATCTAAAAAACATTATATTTCAGCTTTATTTGATATAATAGTTGCCATAATTGCCTTTTATATGCATCATTGTTAGAGATTCGTATTAAACATGTTGAAGGCTTTGATCTACTTTCCTGGATTTGTATTTTCTCCCATGGAAAAAAGAGCTTAGTTGCATTAAAAGTGAGTTTCCATGCAATCTTTCTAGTAATTGTTTTTGTCTTGCTCTTGTTATTCCAGGAACAAAGCCGGAGCTTAATCTGAAAACCTTTCTATATCATCTTCATGTTTACACACACCATGTTACCTCCATCTCAAGAAGATGAATTAAAGGCTTCTCATTTTACTGCTTTATCTTTAAGCACAGATATCCAGGTTTCCCAGCAAATCCATATTCCATCTCAAGTTGCTAAGAAGGTGCAGGGCACAAGCCTTCCATACACAAGAAACAGTGCAAGTCCAATGAAGGTTAAGAGGAAAAGATGCCTCGATGGAGCAGCATTGACTATAGGAACCGGGTCTAGTTCAAACCTGCTCAAAATGAAAGGAGTTGATCATCCACCCGAACAGGTGAGCTGTGCTAGCTTAGGTGGTGATTATAGTCGGAAACAGCCACCTCCAGTTGCTGCTGTGTCTGGTTTGGTCAATACAAGTGAAGCGAGAGTTGTTGATGAGGCAAGCCCTTACCATCAATTTGTACAAGGAGTTAGAAGTAGAAATGCAAACAAAAAGAACGATGACAGAAGAGCTGGTACGGACAGTATCAGTTATGTGAATGCTCCCAACAGGGCGTGCCTCTATCAACAATCTGCAAGTGGAATTAGCTGTGAAAATGATAGCAAAAAGAATGCTCATCCCAGAGCTAGAAGAACTTGTGGAAAGACATCGATTTCTGATAAAATCCAGCACAGGATGATAAAAAATCGAGAATCAGCTGCCAGGTCTAGAGCAAGGAAACAAGTAATTAAGTTATCCCAGACTGGTCTTTTAAGCAATTTGTTACATATAGAACTTGGCTTCGTTTGCTCTTCGTTATTGTTTTCATATTTACCACCCCTGTTTTCAGGCTTTGGAAGCCCAACAGCAAGTGGAAAATACAGAGCTTAAGAAGGAGAATGACCTCCTGAAAAGGGTTGTGAGGGTAATTAAGTTGCATTTTGATTATTCTTTTTTTCAAAGCACTCTGTTAGGCCTTCCATGTTTAAAGTTTCTAAGCATTATGATGCCTAAATGTTTTGCAGTTTCTCTTGGCTATATTAAGGACAAAACGCATGAAGCTGCCAGCACTTTCAAGGAGTTTCTCAGCACCCTTATAAATGAAACTCTGAAAAGTAGCCGCCATGAATTGTCTGGAATGTGAAAATAAGAACACATTCACTATTGCTGTAAGTGGCAAGAGTCAAGGGCTGAGTCTTCAGGCTATATATCCAGTTCAATTTTAACCTCTTTTAATGTTTTCTCAGCATGTCTGGTAATGTAGTCAGCATGAATGGCGTCTTTTTTTATTCATTCAGAATATGATTGTAAACTACGTCCTCTCGACGATCACTCTCATCATTCCATCGCCTTTCTAAGCAATGAGGCACAAAAACTAGGATTTCCACGATGATTTGAGGTGGGTATGCTTGGTCAAAGCCAGATGGTATGACAGCATAAGCAAAAACCAGAAATTGAAGGAATAATTAGCTGATTACTTAATAATCTAAACGATGAATGCAACAAGAACCTGGTTATCGTACCAAGCAAATCATAAGAAGATATTTCACTCTTTCTTGTACTTTACATCTAATACAAGCCTCAATCAGCATATCCCTAATCCCCAGGGAACGCCATGTTTGGGGATTTTACGATTATATTACATTAACAAAATATACTAAAAGGGTTAGCTAAATCACTATAATAATTCACATTACCATTAATTTTTTTCTAATTTATCCTTATTTTTTTTCATTATAGCTTTATATGCCCAAAATAATATATGTGAGACGAGCAGTAAAGATAATCAAATATCAGACGTAGAAGAAATTCCTCTTTCTCTCTCTCTTTCTCTAATGTAAACCTAAAAACAACTCCACCTCCACCAAAATGGCAGGCACAGCCATTGGATCTTCTAGAAGTACCTAAAGCGGACCGTCTCCCCCCTCAGTCTCCCCATCTAGCAGATTTCATCAACACCTCTCTAGATCTTCGACATCTTACGCTCCTCCACCGCCTTTGCTTCCTCAAGTTCTAGTTTCATTTCTCGCTCATCAACTTTCTTCACACCAAGTTTGACGGGAAAATTGAACAGGAAAAGAAGAATGATGTGATTCAAAAGAAGCAAATTCGATAGGGAAGCCCCCGTGACAAGAATTCTGAAATGCTAAATTATCGGAATCATTCAACCTACAATGGATGTAGTGGAATGGCTAAAGAGAAGTTTAGTTGGCGTGATTTGAGAAAATGACTAGTATGGGTGTTTAGAGTCTAATTTCATATACAGTGGGTTAGATTCCTTTGAGTTATGATTTATGTTGGATATGTTTTTTTAGGAGATTCACCACCGGGTTCCATCAGATGCTCCTGCGTATCCATTTTGTTGGGTGGTTTGGCAGTCCACCATACTTT